TAGAGAAAGGAAACTCGTTTATTTGACATTTTCAATGTTTCGATGATTAAAATGTTTGTGTTTCATATTCACTTTGCACAAGAAGTGGTTTAAAAAAGACTTTTAGTATCGCAGACATGATTTAGACTTTTTACTGACTTGTTTTTTACTGAACTGTATCGAATTGATTTGAAATATATCGTATCGAAAGTTCACTGTATCGGGATATGTATCGTCTTGAGACTTATGTATCGAGGTATGTATAGTATCGGGAGCTTCTTACTGATACCCAGCCCTACAGGTCACGCATAATTAATCTTAACAGCACCACTTAATTCATCTGTAATTACACTTTAAGGTGCACTATGGAACTTTTCTAGTGGTGGATCTGCAACGTGCATGTCTCCATAAAGATACTATTGCTTTGCCTGGAATGTCCCACTTTTCAGCATTAAACTTTTTAATAGGGCCGGGCACGTTAACACAATTAAGTCATTATCGCCGACAATTATTTTAACGCCGTTAATGCAGTTTTTATTATTTATTTATTTTATTGTAAACGTCTGTTTCTCACATGGCTTTTATTTTGAAAAAGTCCACTGTGAGCGTTTCTTGACGTCTTTTCTTTACACTTTTTTCACTTTTAAATTAATTACAGGTAGTTTTTCTGTGAGCAGGTTAGGGCTGGGTATCATTAAGAAGTTACTGATACGATACATACCTCGATACAGTGCGCTTTTGATTCGATATGATATATTTCAAATCGATTTGATACAGTTCAATAAAAAAATAAAGTCTAAATCATGGCTGTGATACTAAAAGTCTTTGTTAAACCACTTCTTGTGCAAAGTGAATATGAAACACAAACATTTTAATCATCAAAACAGCAAAAATGTCAAATGTGTTGAGTTTCCTTTCTCTAAACAAGCAACAAAACTGTAGCTGTAACAAAATAATTTAGTAAAACATACCAAAAAATACTCTTGGCGATATATCGATACAGCAACCTACGATATCGCAACTGTATAATCACATTAAACGATCCGATATATATCGATATTTCAATATTTTTGCACACCCCTAGAGCAGGGTCACCTTTCAAACAATCTGACCTGTAACTTGGCTTGATGGAGATAGACACATTTACTTATATATTAACTTACTGTGGAACAATCAAGGCAAAGCAATAACATCTCTAAGGAGGTATTGGTCTACCAGAAAAGTTACACTGTGCACCTTTAAAGTCTCTGGCCTGTTACGCTTTACAACTGAATAGCTGGCTAATGAGTACAACCACCTAAACATGCAAAGCTAATTGAATGTGTTCCTGCGCCGTAAGTCTACTCCCGTCAGACTGTACATTCAGTGCTTCGTACCGAGTGGCTAAAAGCTGGTGTCTAGTTACTGAACAGCAGCTATTATCAGTTCATCACAGACACGATCCTTCTGCGGAGGACAAACCTGTCCACTGTCTATTCAAACCTGGCCTTCGTGCGTTGCATAACTCGCCAGGTGCAAAAACACACACATTTATCCAATTATTGCTATGAAAATGGTTCTGCAAATTTCCACCTGATTACATGACGTGCGCAAGTCTATATGTAATCAACTGTACCGTACTTAAGGCGAGACACAATGTAGAAACTGGTTCTTTTCACAAATAATTACAACTAAGGCAACTTGATTATGGAAAAAAAAACATTATCACGATTATTTTAGTCAATATTGAAATCATGATTATTCAAACTTTTTTTTTTAGGTTACACGATGCATTTATTCAGCATTTCTCTCAAAAAAAAAAGAAAGAAAAACACTTTATTAGGGCTGGGTGTCATTAAGAAGTTGCTGATATCACCCTGGTTCTACGATACAATGTTAAATTTGGTTTAAATAATTCTATATATAAAAAAAAAAAAATTATGTAGGTAAATGGAAAATGTAGGTAAATGTACCCGAGTGTATGTCTGTAAATGTGGATATGTAGGTATATATGTATGAATTTATATGTGTATGTATTTATATATGAGAATATGTGTATACTTATGGTACGAGGATATTACTATCTAACAAAATCCTGTAAGACTATATTTTTCAATTTGTGAAATAAAAAAAAAAAAAAGTTACTGATATGATACATAGGTACAATGAGCTTTCGATTCGATACGATATATTTCAAATCGATTCGATACGGTTCAATAAAAGTAATGGCTAAATAATGACTGTGATACTAAAAGTCTTTGTTAAACCACTTCTTCTGCAAAGTGAATATAAAACACAAACATTTTAATCATGAGAACAGTGAATATGTCAAATGTGTCGTGTAAATGAGTTTCCTTCCACTAAACAAACAACAAAACTGTAGCGCTGTAACAAAATGATTTAGTAGAATATTCCCAAAAATACTCTTGGTGATATAATCGATACAGCAGCCCACGATATCGATACTGTATCATCACATTAAACAATATGATATATATCGATATTTCAATATTTTTGCACACACCTATTTGTTACTGATAATTGACGCAAATCTTTCAAATTTAAAATAAATTCAGGCTACAAATATGAACCTTAGAGCAGTTTTGTGATGTATAAAGCATAAAACGAATCAAATATACTTGAAATAAGGCACAAAAAAATCCAAAATGAACTATATATCCAGCTATTCTACAAAAAAATGAAATAAATATACTTATTTATATAAAAATTTTCAATCGTTTCAACTCGATTATATGAGTTTGGAGATTGTTTGACACGCAAATCGAAATTGCGATCAAAATTCGATTAATTGCACAGTTTAATTACAACGCTTCTTTCCTTTTGGGTGTTGCCGTACTTACAACACTAACATATGGCGTCTGGTTTGATTGTGCTAGTAACAAGCCTAGGTAAACGAGGTGCGTGGAAACAGGAGGAGCATTAGGACAACCTGGGCCAAATATGCTAATCTCACGCACTCTCCGACAGATGGTGTGCTGTGGCAACCCCGGAAATACACCCAAAGCCAGGCCCTGGGAAAAAACCGTAAGTACTTTCGTTTTCGCAGTAGCAGGTACTTCGGGGCAGGTTCAGATTTCTATTTTGACTAAACTATTGACACTATAAAAGCCAATCATGACATGTTACATAAGCAGCCAGGTGCAGAGTGGAGGAGCAAGCCTTTTAAGCTGCTCGCATTCTCCATTTGAAAACCTATACTTCACTTAGGGCTAGACGTGGACTAGTTTCCTGTGTTAATAACAGTGGAAACGCCAATAAACCACAGTTTCCAGAAGGCCAACTTTGAATTAAATACAAAAAAAAAATGAATTCAGTTGTGCTGCTTCAGCGTATTTTTTAAGTCACAGGAACTTTCATGATTACAACTTCACCTACAGCTTTTACTTAAACGCAACAGTAACAGCATATTCATATTTAAAGTACTGTGTGCTTTTCAGACGACTCCTCAGTTTTATTTTTGGACCAGAAGGAGCCATTGTAAAATTATAGTGCGGTCTAAACCAACCAATTAGGCAGTTTGGTGTAGACTTCAACAAATGTATCCATTTCATTTGAGGATGTTGAACGGTCTGCAGTTGTGTGCTCTACTTTTCACTCACTGAACATTTGACTGGGAGATTATTTCACTTTTCATAATGATTTTTGTCTTTATACTTAACACAGAACCTTATGTTGTGCTAACTTCATACTGCATGGACTGGTGCATAATCACTATACCTAAAATTCTAATTAGAGATGAACCGAACTTTTTACTTTATACATGTACAAGAGACTTTATCGAACAGCTTGTACAGTTAATGTGCGCTGATTGAATTCTGCTTATAAATATTGCATTTCTCTACTCTCATAAAATCTAACCTCAATTTACCTCCTGGGATTGAATGTCACTCATTTTTCTTTTTTTAGTAACATACACACTATATATATGACACACGCACACACAAACATACATACTGTACACATCTATACTGTCCTTAATATTATATAGTATTATAATATAACATTAACACTTTATAGATTGAAATGATTAGTGGTTGAAAATTTTCCTGCAAATTATTAGTTCTTATAAGACAGCAAATAAAGAATACACCATTCCATGATTTAACCCTGACGCCATTAAGGCACATTAAATGATCTGACTTCAATATTTTCATTTCCATATTGTGTGGTACATTAGAGTAAAAAAAAAGCTTACTGGCACAATAAGCATATAGCCTATATACCAGTGTGCCTAATCTCATGCCTGCGCTTCCTCTTTTGCCTTCTCTGAAAACCCGCGCACACATCGCGCAAATTGTGCAGCCTTTGCACTAACCCGCAATGTTTTTCACGCTATGCACCCTGAGCGCTGCGGCTGCACGTCACTGAAAAACGGCCTGTTATTTAGTGCCCTATGGAGGGAGATTGTTCTATAACACGACGCACAGCAGGCACCAGCATCTCGACTTTCCCTCGCCTGCACACTCATCTCTCATGCAGCAGAAGGAGGAGTCTTCAGCGGCATGACCTACATCCACGGCGCGGATCAGAGAGGGTCCCGCGCGCAGGACACAACCTGCTGCCCACGGGTTCCTCTGGACCCACACACGGACTGTGCACACAGGAAAAATAAGAGGAACGGTAGAAGAAAAGTGCTTGAAGCAGGATAAAGCTTCCGTCTAAATATAGGTGTCGTGTCGGCGGCTGCCTACGGCCGCGGACACGAGCTGGATCCACAGGGTAAAGCCGTGAGGAGCTGCAGCAGGAGCAGCCACATAAACCCACAGCCCACAGATCACAGCTCACACTCACAACAACATCATCATCATCATCATCATCATCATCAACACAGCCCCGTGTGCATCTGGACAGCAAGTCAACACTGCACCAAGAATGACCAATGACCATGTTCACCACCTTTACCTTACACTTTCTCTTACCCGTTAAATAAACCGAGGAATATTAAATATTAACAGGGTCAAATGACTCTGAAGCAACATTTAGGACATTTCAGACATGGGACAAACCGCAGCATTACGCACCACAGAGTGATATCTCGGTGATTCTTCCTGCAAAAAAACAGAACAAAAAGTACAATTGTAGGCGGAATTCTTGACCAAACCTTCCTTTTTCTTTGCACCAACTTGAAAAAATATTTTTAAAATTAAAGTAACGATCAGCTAGGTTAAAAGGCCGAGAGGCTCGGATAATTTTAATGGCATTAAGAGAAAACCTGCTTAAATTGGAAGTGTAAAGCTAGCCAGCTTATTGGCTAACGCTAGTCGAGGAGCTAACTCAGCTAGAGCGCTTGTTGACAAAATAAAGCATCGAAAAATTTAAAGTAAAATTACTCACGTCACTGTCGACTTCGATATCATCGTTATCGCTCATTCTTCGATGAAGTAGTCTAGTTTAAAGGGACGGGCCGCTAAAAAACAACATGAATCAGTTTAGCACCGAGCGGCTCCAGCAGCGCTGCAACTGTTTGGACAGAACCAAGGTGGACTCTACGGGCTCCACGTGACTACACTCCACACACACAGACACCGCGCCACAGCGCGCATGCGCGGGTCACAGATGCACTCTGGGAAATGGCGTCTGACCGAATAAGTAATTAAAAACAACGTTAAATATCTTACACAATTCATTGTGAATGCGCAATATGTTAAAACATATTGTGGTGTACGCAGCGGAATTTAATACTGTTTCCCGAAATCTGAAATAAAAAGAGCGTAAATAACATATTTTGCAGGGAGGATTGTAATTAATGGACTACAACTTCCCTTTTCTCATTTTACTCGAATGTACGTCATGAGCTACATTTTCCCTGGTGCATTGTGGGCATTGCTGTTCATACAACTCCAATGTGTCACAAGAGCCAAATCTTGGCAGGGCTGAGACACGTGGATTACAGGAACACGCACAAATTCACGAAGTCAAACATGACACAGCCCACAACCACCACGGGATCCTCTTGGCTAAAAACACTCACAGCATCTCTCAAAACACGAACTCAACACTACAACTGCACATGTGGATGGAAAAAAAATGAATATGGGAAAAATTAAGATTAAGATTAGTTTATTACAATGTAAAAAAAAAAAAAATTCTTTCTTTCTTTTTTCTTTCTTTCTTTTTATATATCTTAATCTCATTTATTTATTCAGCTTCAGGCTATTGCTTTTCCACTTCAGGTCATCTCATTAGGTTACTAATACCTACCTAACCTACATTGCTGATGTAAAATAAATTGTGAATTTCTCGAAGCGCTGTCAAACAGGGTCAGTTGTAATGTAGTGATGATTGACCAGAAGCTGATAATTTACAATTTGACCATTTAGGTTTTAACTTTTTAACTGCACAATCTGTTGCCACATAGTTTTTGCTTTACCAGATGTTTAATAAATGTTTACAAGATAATCTATTATAGGGCGGGAGTAGCTCAGCTGGTGTTTGTCCACAAAGGTTGGTGGTTTGAATCCTGCTCATGACATAAAACAACAGTGGTTGAGCGGTCAGATCCACTGGCCCACAGGTTGTTGGTGGTGGTGTGATTCCAGCTTCCACAGATAAATGCTGTTACTGTGTCCTTCGGCAAGACACTTAACCCACCTCGCCCCTAGTGTCACACTGGTCAGTTTGTGAGTGGTTCCTTGTTATAAAGCGCTTTGAGTGAAGGTGGAAAAGCACTATATTAAAATTTTACCATGTATTGTTTAACATGCCTAAATTACACAAATTTCTGATCTATGTTCTTCTCTCAAACAGAAAACACTCTGTTCCACCTTGTGATGTTGTGGTAATACAGGAAGTGCTCCACTGTAGAAGTGCTCCTGATGATGGTGGACTTCATTACAATAATTTGGATGATTTTAGACCTGGAATTGAACATCTCTACTGAATTAAAGGTAAAAGGTAGTTGTTAACTTGAAAACTATAGCTACATGACATCACAAGGTGGAACCAAGTATTTTGAGGATTACTCAGACATGAGTGGAGTGTTTTCCTTTGCAGGGCTTGTGTGTTAAATGTGTGAATGAAGCAAAACACAGCTCCATGTTTTGATGAGATAACACCACTGTAACACGGCTTAAAACTCACAAGAGTCAATTTTGTGTAATTTACGACTTTTAATTATATATTTAAAATAAGCCTAAATGACTGAAAGTTTATTTTTGCATTCACAGCTGAAATTGCATGTTAATGAATCCAGACTTCCCGCCACACCCAAACAGCAATTTCCCTGGAGGTGTAGTACTCTGAGGTATTTCAACTACTTACACTACTACAGGACCAACAATTAAGTGTGGGGTAAAAGCAGTACACAAGCTTGTAAACAGAGATGAGTCGGGGCAGGTCGGGTCTCCCTTCCCCCCATGTGTCCTGGGTCGCCCTGTTAAACCTTTCAAAGACCCTCGTTTTGTCCCTTGCAACACACACACACTGTACACATAAGGAGGGCCCCATATGCAGTCAGCGTACAAGATTTCTTTTTGTTACTCCCATTGTTGTTATCTGTTCGTTTACAAAAGGAAGGGGGCATTGGACATTGAGAGAGAAGCGATGTTTGTGATCAAGACCAGAGATAACATAAAGAATTACAGCCGTGATTTAGAGTTAATAGAAGATGTCATGATTTCAGTTTTCAATCTAGTTTATTATAATATCAGGAATTTTGTTGTTATCATTTTGTTGTATCAAAGTGTAAATCAATGTTGTGTGATTTGACAATTAAAATGGCTCAATTAAAACCACATTTTGGATATTAGAAAATTTATATTGAATGTACATGAACTAAATGTTTACAAATATGAAAATGGATATAAAATGACAAAAGAGACTGAAATGCAAATTTGAAGGATTATGTCTAATAGAAAAATAGTGTTTCTGTGCTGTGTCCCACTGCAAGCTCAGTTCTTGCTATCTTGATTATCTCATCAGAGGTATAATACTCCCTACAACTGAAGCATAGCCAGATTGGACTGGACTGGAATAGACAGTATTATCACAAGAGTCACCTTTTTAAAGTGGGACTAAACATCTAAACCACTGTTTCCCAAAGACTGTCTTCCAAGTGAGTCTCAAGAGATCTTTTTTCGGGTCACCTTATCACGATCTGCATGTAGGTCTGTGATATACATTTCTGATACTGATATGCGTGTTGTGCTCTTCTCTTGCACTCGGACTGGAACGCGCTACAAAAATGCAGACAGGCCCACCTATCTCATTAGAAATGGTAAGACATGTTTTGTATAATTTCTAATCTTTTTGTTATTATTTTATTGACTATTTTGTTCCAGTATTGCTGGTTCAATTGCATACTGTACGGAAAAAGAAATGGGCTACATTCAATGTCCAAATAGGTGACTTATGGATCCTTTTATTGCTGCTTTAATGTTTAAAACTTGAGTAATACTAATTGTTCAGAGAGACACGATCACTCAGTCAACAATAAAACATCCTCGGTAATGTTCAATAATGGTCGAATCCAACTTTATTTGGGGATTTAGGAATAGTATTTATTGCCTTGAGTTGGGAAGGTTTGTGACTTTTAAAATATGGGTACCCAGAAAAAAAAAAAAGTTTGCGAAACACTGATCTAAACCACAAAATCATTTCAAATAAACTGATACAGACTCAGGAAGAGAGTGAAATTAGATGAAATAAGGGATGGGTTCTGGAGGTTTATTAAAAAGTTGGATTGATTGAGCTGATTATAACTAAAAAGATTGTAAATTACGAGTGTAATTTTCAAAACAAAACACTGGTTATTCTGCTGTACAAAGGCAGAACGTCGTAACATTGTGTTTGGTCAAAAATGAGTTCATGTCATTTTGTTTGTTTTTGAGACCTCCTTTATCATATGAACAAATATTGTGAAAAATATTGAGCTCAAAATTGACCTCTGACCCTTATTTGTCAGTTCCTTTACTCTGCTTTTGTATCATGAGACAAAAATAAGGAATCATGCAAAGGCAAAAGGCAGTAACTGTGTATGTTTTGTTAGTGATTTAGTTAAAAAAATATATTTTATTTTAAAATCCAACCTCTCACCTCTTTCTTGTTGTTGCAGTCTTTGCACAGGGTCTTAACACATTAAATAAATATATCTTTGTATTCAATTATACTTAAATTATCTTATATATGTGAAAGTATTTTGTGTATTTATTCATACTGTACACACTATTGTTCTCTCTTTTACCTCTACCAGGACATTTCTAAACAAATTTTGTACTGAATCGCAAATATATTAGTTTACAATCTGATGCACAGTGTTGACATAAAGTACATCATGCAAATAGTTTAAATAAAAAAAAAATATGAAGGATTAGACCAACAAAAGTGAGAGCGCTGTATCTGATATATACATTATTTTTCACTAAACTACTGTATTTTCACATAAACATACCTCAATGACAAACATATGAATAACAAAAATAGTACGAGTAAAGTAGACAAGAAGCCAAATGTTTTTTTCCACGTATTCAAAGACAAAAACCAAGCCTCTATTTGCATTTGGATCACAACATTCGCCAGCATGTACGAAAAACCAAGAACCAAGATCGTGAGGAAGGGTTTTTTGAGCTCCATAAAACAGTGATTCGTTTCCAGCCAGCTGCTTTGGGCTGACACACTCAAGCTGCTTCCCATATACAATAGAGAATAGTGACATCTGTTGGCTGTCTTCAGGAACTGCACGTGTTTGGAATACATAAGGAGCAGTGCTTTTATCATCACTGTGGAATGTTCAGCAGTATGGCATGAAATTTTTATATCTAAAACTACCACTCAAGTAAAAGTAAGAGTCAGGACGTAACATCTGATTTATAATTTGAAGTTAATGTAATTTGAAGGACAAAAATGTGGTGTTTTCAAAGGACAGACACAAAAATGAGAAAGTAAATCATATCTGGTGCAAGAAACACAAAATTATTTAATATTGTCAACTCAAATAAAATATGGCTCAATTGGAAGCTAAAGTATGCTGTTAGAAAAGTACAATTTGTTTAAAAAGTTGCTCTGAGTACATCAGTGAAGTAACTGAATATCACCTCTGTATGTGAAGGTACAGAAGCCCTGAGAGGCAAGAGAGAGAGAGAAAAAAAAAAGAGGCAGGTCATTTGGGCTCAATTTTTTATTTTCTAAAAAAAAAAAAAAAAAAATTCTAAAGAAACTGTAAATTTTTTTTTTTTTTTTTTGAGTTGGTAAAAAAAAAAAAAAAAAAAAAAAAAAAAAAAAAAAAAAAAAAACGCTTAGAAAATAGAGCCCAAATGACCTGCCTGTTTTTTTCCCCCTCTTGCCTCTAAGGCAGGGGTGTCAAACTCATTTTGGTCCGGGGGCCGTATCCAACCGACTTTGATCCCAAAGGGGCTGGATCAGAAAACTCATGTCATATAAACCCCAAAAATAACAATAAATCTATTACAAAAATCTTTTTTAATAGATGAACTCTTTCTTTTACAAAATATTATATTATTATGAACAACCTGAAACTTTAAGAAAAATACTATTTCAGCACAATGTTTTAACATGAACTTGTTTAACATTAACTTGTATAAACAGGAATAAGTAAATTTTTCTTGGAAAATTCTGCACTCGGCTCCACTTTTCTCATTTTGGACATTTTTCTGATGAGGGTGTCACGGTCAACAGTCAAAACGATCGTCCTTTAAGAGCGTTTGGAAAGAGACAAGTCTTCATTTGTGCTGCTCTGGTGGGAGGGGCCACGTACAGATGCTGGAGACGCTGCTGTGATAAACTTCGCAGAAAATTAACAATATTTTAATAAAAAATATAATTAAAATATTTTAGTAGAAAATCAGTCGAGGGCCAGATTAAAGGTCTTGGAGGGCCGGATCTGGCCCCCGGGCCACATGTTTGACACCTGTGCTCTAAGGGCTTCCGTATAAAGGCAATAAACCTAATAATAGTAATAATCGTAGACTAGGAAAGGCAAAGGTCAGTTATTAATCCCACTGTACTTTAGACATGCTATAGTAGATTTATATGGCTTTGTGCCCGTCATTGCTGAAAACATCTATTTGGTTTGTTTGGAGGATTTGCGGACAAGACTCAAACTAAAAGTGTGTGGAATTGAGAAAATTGTCACTTTTACTATGGCAAACCTGTCAGTCGTGGTCATGGATTTGCAGGGGAATGACAGTCTAAATGGGACTCTTGACTTCACTGCGTACGGAGGGCTGAGCCAAGTAGGAAAATTCTTTATGGTTTGTGCCATATCCATTGCCATGGTTTGTCTGGGATGTGCCATGGAGGTCGCCAAGATCAAGGTAAATCCTGTGAAATACGAATATGTTACATAAAAAATATATAGCCAGTGTGTTCTGTTCACACTTAACTTGGCATTTGGGTCTCTCACATAACATAAAACCACACAGAGTAACCTGGAAACCACTGGCAATTTAGAGAAATACACTTCTGGCTTTGTTCACACATGATCCAGTTCTGGCAAAATGCAAGTAAATTCCAGGCTGCATGTGTAAATGGTACTTACTCATTTCCTGAATTCATGCCATTTTCCTGTTGTTTTCCAGGCTCACATTAAAAATCCAAAAGGAGTGGGAATTGCACTTGTGGCTCTGTACGGGGTCATGCCTCTGACGGCCTTCTCTCTGGCTAAGGTGGGCTTGGATTAAAATTGCACAATATGAAAAACATGCAATATTCAATAATCATGTTTAGTAATTTGCTGTTTTGCGATGCAACAATAAAGTGATATTACTGCGATGATTAAACATACTTTTGAGCGTTGTGACAATACTAACATTTCAAACTCAAATTTTGAGGAACAGAAATATACCAAGACCAGATAAGGAAACTCATGAATAAAAATTGTCCATTTTACTTTCAAAAAACAATAATCTTCTACAAGATGCAGAACATTGATGCAATATGTTTATTTTTTCTGTGATATCCATTATTGTGTCAGTCAGTATTGAAACTGTGATGTTTTTGTGATATATTGGCGTCCCTCACGTGGATAAATGATTATTATTAAACTGTAACTGCATGTGCTGATAGTGTTGAACAGTGTTGTGTTCATTTTTCAGTGAACTTTGAACTGAACGCAACACATTTATAAATCAAGAACTTGAACATGAATTTGTTCAGATCATGTGGGGTGAACGACGTACGTCACTGTTGTGGTTCAATTAAACACCGGAATTTGTTTTCACCTGTTGAGTCGAGTGACAAGATCTGCTCACACTTTTCAAACTGCATGTTGTGCTGTCACTGACCGCCCACGGGCTCCTCCTGCACAGCCTCACCAGAGAGCGCTTGTGTGTGCAATGCATTTTGGGTAATGTAGTGTGAAGCAGGGATGGGCATGATTAGTCGACTAATCGATTGTTAACAAGTTCATCGAACGCGTTCATTTTTAATCGACACACTGAATGTAGGCTGCTGTGTGTAGCGTAAGGAGATGAAGCTGCGTCTGACAGCACAAACACTGGTGTTGTGGCCTCACAGTCCCACGTTTCAGCTCTGGCTCCTCCTTGGAGACACTGTACCACTCACATGCACATCAGTGTCCCGGGTATGATCGGGTTTTTTGAGTATCCCGGTTTCGTCATGGTGCATGTAAACGCAGTATCCTGGTTACTGCAATATAAAGTTCAGTGCTCATGTGTCCAAAAGACAAACACTTTTCAGTCTTTTCATCACAACAGCAGCCAAAATAAATAAAGTTACCAACATAAATAAAGTGAGTGAAATAAAGAGCTAAACCTGCATGTGTATGAGCTCTGAAAACATGAACTATCTCCAGTGTGATATATGCGCAGTTTAGTCAGAGGTCAGTTTGAAAAATAAGTTCAGCCTTTCATTTACATCTCTCACCTAAAAATAAAATGAACTGAACTTTGAACTAGTTCAAAATTAAAATTGTGAACTATGAAGTGAACAGTTCACTTTGAAAATGTGTGAACTGAACTTTGAACTAGTTCATGAAAAGTGTGAACTTGCACAACACTGGTGTTAAAGTGATTTTACCAGTGTTGTTTGGTTTGTTTGCAGGCGTTCCAGTTATCAGAGATGGCTGCTGTGGTGGTGTTGATCTGCAGTTGTTGTCCTGGAGGTCTTCTGTCCAACATCCTGAGCCTGGCCTTCAGTGGAGACATGAACCTCAGGTAAGAGGTCACCATTAGTCCCGCAAGATTAATCATAACTGAACAAAAATAGATATTTGAATGAACACAATTAGCAAATCGCAGAGGCTGCAGTTTTAAATGCCATAGTTTCTCATAGTCTTGTGTAAAAGCCTGTAGTTTAGATCTGTACAAACTTCTGGATGTGTTTAAAATCTGAACTTTGAACTGAATCTTATTATTAAACATATTAGCAAGTCTAATGTTAGCTTCAACAAAGCATGAAGACTTTATTCATAATGAACAATCACCTCTCCACAGACCACTGATGTTGTCAATCTGCTTATCCTATGAAACTTCCTAAGGCAAGTCAAAATCTCCATGGACAGAAGCAGATATTTATATTTATGCCTACATTTAAGACATTGTGATAACAATAATGAACAATGCTCTGAAAAAGGCTTTGGGTGTGTTGAAAGGCGATATATAAAAGGTGTGAGATCTGTGAATCCCTAGTATTTAGTATTAAACTAAATATCAAATTACTCCCATCAGCATTACTCAAACATGCATGAACAAAATACAACTGTGAGTGAGATCATGATGACACCATAATAACACGGAGAAATTTGCATAATATGACCTCTTAAAAGATCATCTTTGGTGGTCTACAAAAACCTGAAATCTGGAATATTAGGTGATAAACAGGGAGGATCTGTCCAATCAGGTCATGGAAGTATAATAAGATCTGACAGATGAATCCAAGATAGTGTTGTTCTGTTTTTAAATGACCTGAGCTCATTGGTGCAAAATCCCAGAACGTTTTTTTCTTTTGCATTACATCCTGATTTTTTTTTCTGTCAAGGTAAGAAATAAACTGAGGTGAGAAAGACAGTGCCTCAGAATAACAGATATAACAATACAACCATAAAGTTCAAGAACAAGGTAATGATTAAGGATGATTAAGGAACTGTTTAATAAATGACCTTCCTTGATCGATTTAGTGCATGTTGTTTTATCTGATGCTTATTATTTACTAAATATCACCATCTAGTGGTCACTTTAATTTACTCTTTCTTAGTAACAATAGAAGAACGCAAGACAGAAAGTGGTTGTTGACACTTCACCAAAACATGATTTATTTATTTTTATTATTATTTATTTATTCTTTGTTTTGTAATTTATTCATTTAGTTTGCAAAATCTGTTTATTATGATTATTATGATTATTATTTTATTTTATTGACCTTTATCTAACCAGGATAGTCCGGCTGAGATTAAGAATCTCTTTTTCAGGGAAGCCATGGCCCGACACTATTGTACATGTTTTTAGTGGTATGGGAAACCGGAGCACCTGGCAGACACAGAGAGAACATGCAAACACATCACGCTAGAATCAAATGTACATGTTCACGTGCTGCTACTTTTCAACTCTACCACTCATGCTGAATATATTAACGATAGATGTCTCCACCCACACGTACACTTCCTGTGCCGCCAAACGGTTCACGCCTCGTTTTGTGTGAAAACAGAAGCAACACACACAGAAATGAATGAGGGTGCGAGTGAGCATCACCTTCAAATTAATGTCCAAAAACTACATTTAGTGATTTCTCTGGTAAATTCCAGGATATTTCAGGATGGATTTGGTAAATAAGGCTCACAAGAAGAATAGTAGTAGAGAATACTGGATATAACAATATGATCATAGTGAAAGTGATGATTAAAGCAGACCTTTTATGCAAAATCAACTTTTAAGAGTTTTAACCACGTTATAGTAGTTTACCCTTCTCATTTACTCTCTCAGAGTTGTATTTGTAGTGATTTGTGATTTCATTTTGCCAATCAACTCCGGTGCATGCTCACTATTCTGTTCTTACTCTATAGTTTCTTCGTTCTCGTATTTAATTTTCTCAATGGGTGATACACATAGAATTCGGCTAAACTGCGCAATCATTTTGGTACAAATTTAAAAAGTCCGCTGCTTGCTAGTGTGATGTGCACTTATCCATCAGAGGTGCCAACAGCTCCTCAACTCTTTGGTGTGATGACATTTACAGTGACATGAGCTTCCATTGAGCATCTCAGTTTTCTAATGCTGAAGTCAGTGAACATGTCAGACATTGTTGATAATTAATTGGAAAGTGCAATAGTAGTGATTTCTCTCTCTCTTCTCAGTATCGTGATGACCACCTGCTCCACCCTCCTCGCCTTGGGGATGATGCCTCTGCTCTTGCTCGTGTACTGCCAGAGTTTTGAGGGTCTCCAGGAGGCCGTCCCCTACAGAGATATAGTTTTATCCCTGTTGACCATCCTGACCCCATGTGGAATTGGAATACTCCTCAACCACTACAGACCACAGTACTCCCGCAACATCCGCAAGGTCAGAGAGTCTTTACACTAGTGTTTACCAAACCTTAAAGGTAGTGTCTGTAAGATTTGTGTTCACACATATACTCCATATATTAAGAATGACTTCAGGCAACCCACGTTTAGTTGAGATTGTAGTTCAATTTTTATTCCAGAGCACATGCCTTACATTTAAAGGTATACTATGTAACTTTTCTGATGGAGGCCATACATTACACTACAGACAAAGATCTCCATGGAAACTTAAACACAAACACCACCACCACCACCACAGAAAAGTTCATTAGTTCAAAGTTCATTAGTGTGTAATGTGATTAAAATTACTTTTATAATTCATTGTTGTTAACTTTAGCTCACTTGTTAACTTGGAAATGATCATCTTTCCCCAAGGCAGGTCTGATCCTGTCTAACACGTGTTTCCTGGTGGTGGTTGTGCTCTCCGTCCTGGAGAATGGAGAACAGACCTTGTCCGTCCTGGCTCCGCCCATGTTGGCCATCGCTCTCCTGATGCCAATGATCGGATACACCTTCGGATACCTCCTCTCCTTCCACTACAGACTCACAGAGTCGTAAGACATTTGAGATAATCTTGGCTTGAACTAAATGATTGTTTTTAAATGACTGTCTAGAATCCTACAGTTTAAAATGAAGCTGGAGGACAGGTCAGAATTCTGTGGTGGAATTTTCTGATTAACGGTGATTGCAGATTTGTTGACCTGGTTTACTGTTAATATCTCTGTAATTATTGGGCCTATTCACATGAGACTTGCACAAAGTAGAAAAAGACTGAGAAGATAAAATACAGGAAAGTTGTGTGTTCTAAAGTAGAATACTTCTACCTCTGTCATCAATACAGAAAATTTGTTCCCAACAGATGTTTCCAACAGATCCTCATGATTTACTTGGGTCTGCCAAGTCTTTCCTGCTTCTTCCTTCGCCAGTGGACCCAACTCACCATCTGGTGATGATCGGTTGACATCTCGGCCCCTTTCTTCACCCCAGTGTCCAAGGCACACAGTCAAATGTCAGATGACGATCATCGACCTCCAGCTCAGGGTGTCCTGGTGGCGCGTGTACTGATGGACACCCTTGTGCTTGAACATGTTGTCTGTTATGGATAAACTGTGGCAAGTACAGAAGTCCAATAACAAAACACCATTGGGGTTCATATCAGGGAGGCAGTTCTTCCCGATCACCCCTGTTTAGGTGTCACTGTCGTTACCCAAGTGGGTGTTGAAGTCCCCCATAGAACATGGAAAGTTCCCAGTTGATGCACTGTCCAGTAATCCCAGTCCCAGGGACACCAAGAAGTCCAGGTACTGCACTGCTGGTCAGCCTGTAGGCTGACACCACAGTGAAAGACTTGTCCCCGACCCAAAGGTGCAGGAACGCGTTCCTCTCGTTCACCGGGGTGAACTCCAAAGTGGCTCAGATGTGGGACAATGAGCAGCCCACATCAGCCTGCCACTGCTTCCCACAGACAACGTCAGAGAAGTGGAGAGTCCAGCCCCTCTCAAAGAGTTGGGTTCCAGAGCCCAGGCTGTGTTGAAGTAAGGCCAACTAGATCTAATCAGAAATACTCAACCTCCTGCACAAGCTCAGGCTCCTTCCTCCCCAGCTTCCCAGATCTCTTTGCACTGGCCCATTACTGTCCAGCTGGGCCCCGTGGGGGAAAGCCCAGGCACCAGACACTTGAGCATCCACACCAGGCCTGGCTCCAGGGTGGGGCCCGGTAACGCCAATCCGGGAGACGTAACTGGCCTTGTTTTTAAACTCATCATAAACGGCCTCTGATTCATTCCTACAATGTTAACTGTGTTTTAGTGAAATGAGCACAGTCTGTCCTGTCACTGTGCACTTTAATATACTTGTGGAACTATTCTCTAACATATAATGATAAGGTTCATCAGTTGTGGATCATAACTTTGGATATTTGCAAATCAGTGAATTCATTCAAAATTTTATATTTGTTTTAAATTATTAATTGCTATGACAGGGATCCTAATTGTACATCATTCAAGTAATATAAATCTAAATTTAGATCTATGTTCATACCTCAGGCAGTGCCGGACAGTAGCGATGGAGGCCGGCTGTCGGAATGGGCAGTTGTGTATGGTCCTGGTAAAAAATGCCTTTCCTCGAGAAGCAGTGGGCCCTCTGTTCCTCTTCCCTGTGGTCTACATGCTCAGTCAGCTCAGTGAGGCTCTGGTCCTGGTGCTGCTGTTCAGGACTCACCGCTGCTGGCAACAACGGAACAACAAAAAAGGTGAGCAGACTTCTAATAGACTTCTCATACTACTTCTAAAACTGTTATTTCCTAATGGCCTTCATCAGTGGTATTTGTGCAATGTTGGTGTGAAACTGTTATGAGTTCATTTACAGCTTTTAGTTGTTAAGGTCAACATGTAAATTACTACCATAGATATAGAAGAACAGAATGGCATTCAGCTTTAAAGCTTTGCATTTTGAATGAATTACCCCAAAACTATTGAAAAACATCGACTGTGAACAGGGTCTCCCCCCATAAACCTGTAATATGGCTTTGTGGTATCATCTATTTTATTACTAATTTCATGCTGCACTATGAAACATTCTGGGTATAATAACATCTCCATGGAGACAAGCAGGTGACCGACCCTCCACCAGAGAAGTTACATGGTAAATCTTTAAATAGTATCACCGTCTCCCAAGTTAGTTGCTGTTATTTTGGGGGCACTGGGCCAAAAACGTATGGGTGCTGGATTGCTGATTTATGGATTACTGACATCACGCTGGGGGTGTTCTACATATATGTGTGTGGCCCAATGTTCATCAGTTCCCACGGTGACACGCCACACACAGCTTGTGACGGTAATTTTATGTGTGAGGGACTTGTTTCACAGTAAAAATCAGATCACCTGTTGCAGTTCCAACTAAACCAAGCTCTTTCTGGTCAGATTGTGTTGAAATAAAAATCAGATTAACGATTTACAAAGCCTCAGACAGAGCATGCCTACAGTTAGCATCACACCTCCAGGGCATGTTGTTGATATTAGCTGCAAAGTATCACTCGAAAAGATGTATTAAAGTCAAAGATATTCATTTTGTCTTCTGATGTACTTTAACTTCTTAGGTTCTTTTTAAAGTTAGTACAGAAAAGTGTTTTTACCTTGTTGAAATGTTTCGGCTGCATCTTCAGAACTGTCCTCGGTGTTGGTGGTGACGTGTCGTATATCAGCTGTTGTTACTTCCTGTAGGCGTGGTCGGCCTGATGGACCTGGCAGGTTCCTCAGACTGACCACGCCTCCCGTCGCCCGGTGTTCTCTGGAGGAGGGTGTCCCAAGTGTGTGAAAGGAGGAACGCTCCATCATCATGGTTTCACATCCGACAAAAGGAACGTGAAAAGGAAACATCAGGGAGAATCACCAGAACACAAAAAAGAGAAAGCAGAACAGGAAAACTTAAAATCCGCCATATCAGACTAGCCAGGATGACGCCACCTAGTGCCTCTGCTCAGTTTCATTTCTCTCCAGCGACTAGGTCAGGAATCAGAATACACTAGACGGTTTGCAAAAATCCCGGAAGAGTGAGTTCAGGCACCAACCAGTCAGCGAAGAGCCTTATATTCTGTGTTGTCAACGATTCCCGAGATCGAGGATTTAAAGCCGGAATATAGAGAATGTTTGGTGAATTTTATCAAGGGGAAAGACGTTATTGCCCTTCTTCCTATGGGATTTGGCACATTACATACGTCATGACCAAATAGCAGCGATTGGTTAAATAAAAAAAAAGTACCCACCTATTGTCAAGCGAACGAATCCTAACACTGCAAGGTCAGACGGTTTCTACAAAGTGAAACCGGCTGATGAATCAGGCTAATATCAGAGCACCGTAAAAGAAATAACCACATTCTGGATTGGGACCGGGGCTCGCATCATTGGATCGGAAAACAGCAAGTTCAAACGCTGGATCAGGGAGGACAGTGAAATCAGGAAACGCGGCACGGACAGCATTAACCGTGATGATGGAGCGTTCCTCCTTTCACACACTTGGGACACCCTCCTCCAGAGACACCGGGGCGACGGGAGGCGTGGTCAGTCTGAGAGACCTGCCAGGTCCATCAGGCCGACCACGCCTACAGGAAGTAACAACAGCTGATATACGACACGTCACCACCAACACCGAGGACAGTTCTGAAGATGCAGCCGCAGCCGAAACATGTCAACAAGGTAAATACACTTTACTGTACTGAGTTTAAGATGCATATTGCCAATTCACATGAAAACTTCTTGCTCTACAGGGACGTACCAGGTGGCTGATCCAGAAATACGTCAAGTTGGAGATCAGGAAAGAGCTGTTAAATGAAACACTATTTTGAATATTGCTGATTTACAACGTGGCAGCTTTTAAAGAGGGAGTATGTGACTTCTATGAGATATTAACCACTAACACTTAACTTAATTTAGATCACCATGTTACCTTTTATTGTTTTGAAAATGCTATATTCGCCGAAAACTACGTATTTACATGTTTCACTTGTATTTTTGTTGCTCAGACCACTGCCTCTGTGTGTTAAGTCACTCCCCCTTCAGAGCGCTATCACAACACAATCAGTTTGCATCCTGCTAATGAAACTACTGCATCATGTTGTTGTGTACAGTTTTGTATCATGTTTTTGTATATTTATGTAGAGTTGTCGTGACAGAATTGGACAGAATCTAACAAATAGAGCCCAGGAGAGATCGCTAAATTACTCAAACATGCATGGCTGAGATCTAAAACATCCTCAGGCATGTTTTTTTTTAATAGAATAGAAAGCTGACATTTTTATTTGTATAATTATCGCTGTCACCATACAAATGTTTATGTTTTTTGCACTGAAAATAAAATCACTGTTCATAAAAATGTGTCTTTGATTAAATGAGATAAATGCCGAGAAGACTGTTCACATTAAAACATCTGCAACAGAATATCAGTGAGCAAAAAATTAAGATAAAAACTGCTAATTTATATACAAAAAATGACAGTTCTGCAGAGAAAGTTGGTCTTTTATCAATGGGAGATTAATACTGCAAATTGAATGCTGGGTTTTGAAGCTACACTAACTTTCAGATATTGAAATTTGGATAAAAAAGTGGATGAAATGAAAACCATTTTAAACATGATACCAAATCTTCCACCTGAATGTTAAAAAGAGCATCTAGAAATGGAGACTTTTATACAAAGTTCAACATTTCGACAAAAGTGTTCCTAAACCTAACTCTACTATCCCTACCCTCGCCTTAACTGTGACCCTAACCCATAGATTGTATAAATAAATGAACATACGTGAGAGCTGATGCGTTGAGCCTCGTCATTTTGGTCTTAAACGTTCGTATAAACCCCCTCTACATGATCCTGGTGTTTTTTGTTGCTATTTTTTTCATTCATAATATACAGCTTCCCCTGTAAGCTCTAGCATCGCGAGTGTAGAAGTATAAAGTAACAGTCCAAGAAATTACTCAAGTAAGAGAAAAAAAAACACAATATTTTTATCCCTACTTGTGTAATATTTTGATTGAAGTAACACTTGAGTTGTGGTTAAAAGTTGTGGTTGCTCAACTTTTACTCAAGTAAGTGACAAAAGCTTTATGACAAAACAATTTGAACATGTGTGTTTCTTGCACTGCTCCTTCAGATATCGTTTAGTTTTTCTATCCTTTGTGCATTATTTAATTTCATGCTTTGTCCTTCAAATTACATTCATGTAAAATCACATAAACATCAGATGTTATGTCCCAACACTTACTCTTAAAGTTACTCTTACAGTGGTACTTTTTTTACACTTACTTGAATAATTTCTTGGACTACTACTGTACCTCTACAATATTGAAGTAACATTACTCTTACTTGAGTAAAATGTTTGGCAACTCAACCACTTCTGGACATAACATCTAATTTATTATTTGAAGGACAAAAAAACTGAATAATGCACAAAATTTGGTCATTTATAGATGCACAAAAATCTGAAAAACTGAATCATATCAGCAAATAGCCGATGAGGTGTAAAATTTCAAATGTCCAAATTATTTCATATTGTCAACATAACTCTTAAACTTAAATTTAGATAAACTTTATTGATCCACATGGGAAATTATTTGGACACAGTAGCTGACACATCACATCACAATATAATATAATAACAACAAGTAAAAAATATAAATGAATAGATTATAAATAAGTAGAAAAAAGCTTGAAGACTGTAAAAGAGTAACCACTTGTAAATTTGTAAAAGAGTAACCAAAACTTTTACTCAAATCAGAGGAGACTAGGAGGGGAAACATTAGCTATTGTGGCCAGTGTACTTCAGTCGTGCTATAGATTTATTTGACTTTGTGCCTCTCAACAATGTCCCCACTCATGTGTTTTGTTTAAAGGACTTGCAGACAGGACTTAAACGAAGAGTGTGTAAACTTGAATGTACTTTAATTCAAATATTTGTCACTTTTACTATGGCAAACCTGTCTGAGGTGGATTTGTTGAGAAATGACAGCCTCAACGGGACGCTGGACTTCACTGCAGCCAGTGAGATGAACCAAATAGGAAATTTTATTGTCATCTGTGCCATTTTTATTACCATGGTTTCACTGGGATGCACCATGGAGCCCACCAAGATCAAGGTAAATCCTGTGAAATTTGAGTAGATTACTGAAATATATAAAATACTTATACTTATAATAATATGCTACAAATCAAAAAAAAGGTATGGACTATGTAAACAGCAATGAAATGTCAATAAGAATACTGGGAACAATACTGAATATCCATTTTTATAAGTATTTTCTAATATATTCTGTGTATTCTATGGTACAATCAGAAGTGTTCTCGTAATAGTTAAAATACTTTCACTTTGAGATGCATTATATTGTAGTGTAAAAAATGTGACACAGGATTAAAACTGTTTTATGTTTATGTTTTACACTGTTAGTTCAGTTCATTAACTTACTTTTTATATTACTTTTACTGTGCAGTGGCACTGTGATCAAATATCAAAATGTATTCCTTTGATTTTAGGAAAATAACTGTATTCTGAACCACCAAATAAACCAGTAACTGCACCGAAATATATTCGCTCAAAATGAGTGTTCTGAGCTTGTTTTCCTGGTTATGCTATGTGGTCGATCTCATAAAATCTTTAAGTCATAGTATGTAACTATTTAGCCAAGAAATAGACTAAAACCTGCTTGTTTCCACTTATCTGTCTCCATGGAGAGTCAAATAACAGGTTAAGAGTGAACAGACCAAACCTGACAATGTTCTGGGACTGAGTTCATGTGTGAATGAGGGTCATTGCAGCCAAAACCACACGCTCTGACAAAACTTTACAAAGACGAGTGGGTCGGTCATGCTCTGTGGTCTGATTCCACATCCTTCTGGATTCAGTCAGAATGTAGAAGGATTTGGACGGTCAGGGAAGCAAATCTCTGGGAACTTTGTGTGAACAGGGGTTTTGTACACTGGCTTTTCTAATATATACTAAAGTAAAAGTAAAAGTAACAGGATGACAGAGGCAGGATGAACACTGAAATGTACTTAATCCAGTTTCCCTGTTGTCCTCACAGGCTCATATTGTCAAACCCAAAGGAGTGGGGATCGCGCTTGTGGCTCAGTACGGGATCATGCCTCTGACGGCTTTCATTCTGGCTAAGGTGGGATTTGATATTATTGATACTTTGCAGCTGATGTTGTCAATGTTTGTTGCTGACTGTAAACACTGCTCTATCTGAGGATTGTCAGACTTTAGACTAATCTTTACACAATCTGACCAGAAAGAGCTGCTTTAGTTGGAACTACAAGAGGTTAGCCAATTTGTGCTCTTAAACAAATGTCTCATACATAAAATTTACAGTCACAATTTACAGTCAAACATTTTTTTGTTACTCCCTCTCACCTTTTTTGTTGAAAATCAAACACCTGAACAAGACCATGAACGCTCGTATTGATCACAGGCTCTTGAAAATGTATCGTTTAAGTCTGTTTTGTATTCTTTCTTGAGTTTTCTTGAGTCTTTGCTAATGTGTGCATTGTGTCACCATGGTAACTTCTGAACATTTCACCATTCAGATACATGTAGAAAACCCCAATGTGCAAAGTATCAACTGCAAGCTGTGTCAATACTACTGTACTGTAACTGAATATTGTGATAAAGTGATTTTACCAGTGTTCTTTGGTTTGTTTACAGGTGTTCCAGTTATCAGAGATGGCCGCTGTGGTGGTGCTGATCTGCGGCTGTTGTCCTGGAGGTCTTCTGTCCAACATGGCGAGTCTGGCCCTCAAAGGAGACATGAACCTCAGGTAAGAGATGAAACATACTCACCAACTTCAGTCAACAGACCTCCAAACCACATTAAACATGGGATGGGCATGATTAGTCGATTAATCGAGAATTGAACATTAAGAATTTCATCAATTACATTCATTTTAATCGACAAACTGAATGTGGGTTGCTGTGCGTAGTGTGACCAAATGGGGGTCTGTACATGTGTCTCTCTGCACTCAGAAGGAGCGAGACACAAACAGTTGGTCAGTCTGCAACGTATTGAAGCACAAATGCGTCTTTAACGATGATTTGTACAAGAAATTCCACGCTTTCCGTTCCGGTCGGGACAAGTGTGAGGCCACGTGTACAAAGCAACACATATGCAGTGTTGGGGAGTAACAGATTACATGTACCGGAGTTATGTAATCAGAGTACAAATTATGAGTAACTGTATTCAGTTACAGTTACTGTTTCAGTGAGTGGTAATTGGATTACAGTTACTTTGTTAAAATAAATGGATTACACGTATTTTCCTTTTTTCCCATTATTTTTATTTTTATTTACTTTTTTTTTTTTTTTTTTTCGATAATTCCACTCATTGCTGGAAATTAAACCAGGACTAAACCAGGTCTAAACTAGATCTAAACCAGGACAAAAAAACAGGTTTAAACCAGGTCTAAACCAGGACTAAAACCAGGTCTAAACTAGATCTAAACTAGATCTAAACCAGGACAATACCAGGACTAAAACTAGGACTAAACTAGATCTAAACCAGGCCTAAAACAGGATTTAACAGGACTAAACCAGGTCTAAACTAGATCTAAACTAGATCTAAACCAGGACTAAAACAGGATTTAACAGGACTAAACCATGCTGCGTGGACATGTCTCCTCCTCTTCTATCAATAATATTTTTAATACGGTTAAGTATCCTCGTCTTTGCTTCTCTACAACAAATCAAGTAATCCAAAGTATTCAGATTACGTTACTCACTTTAAGTAATTTAATGGATTACATTACAATCTACATTTTGGGGTATGTAATCTGTAATCTGTAGGGGATTACATTTTAAAAGTATCCTTCCCAACACTGCACATATGTTTCGGTGTCCAGTGGGAAAAAGTTTTACCAGGTGAGAGTCGTTGTCGATGACGAGTCCCAACCTCCCTCCCCCCGTACGGTGTCCTGGTTTTGACAAACGCAAATATGGTCACACTAACCTGTATTCACCTGAGTCATTTCGCATCAGCCACAAGAGCTGTTTTTTTTCTTCGCTTAATTTATGCAAATTAGCCATGAGGTTTTAAGTTTCGTTTCTGTGAGAGTTGAACAAAACTGAATTAAACACATTATAATGTCAAACGGGCTGATGTGGCTCTAGAGTCGTTACGGTTTATATGTCGTAAAGTTGAATTTATTTATGCAGATTAGTAGTGCAGATATTAATAATAATGATGATACATTTTTATATAAAAAACATTAATGATTAATCGATAATCAATCAATAATTCTCCCGACGATCAATTAAGAAAATTTAATCGAATGCCCATCCCTAATTATAATCTTATGTTGCACTTTACTATATAATGGTAATATTAAAAACACATTTAGTTCAGTATTCTGTAACTAAATACATTTTCAGAGGATTTTTCCCATCACTTCATACACATTCCAAGTTATAATTATCAACATCCAACTGTTTACGTTGAATGGCCTCCACGTAGATCAGGACATCACCACCATTTTCCTTTGAGTCTATCTCGTCTGCACACTGTGTAACCCGGGATTTTACACTATAGATAGAGGAGACGAGTGAGTTTCTGAAAGGCAGATGTAATCGAGATTTTGAATTGAGAATAAATGTTCAACCTGCTCAGTCTTTTATACTAGTGGATGTTTCCAAAAATGCCCTTCGGCTTAGTTTTCGGGTTCCACAGACACCTTTGTGGTTCAGTTTGAAACAGTGTCATTTGTTGCTGTTTGAGTGAAGCGGTCGTGGTGGCTTCTGACTTAACATGAAGGACACCTGTTAATGTTTTCCCATGAGCTGTGTGTTTTGGAGCAGAGCTTGTCCTCGCATTACCTCGTAGTCCTAAGCCGGATGCATTAGTGTAGATGGCCAGTATTTCCGCTTGTCTGACTGCGACGTGTCCACATGAGATTGATGATCCACAGAACAGAGGTTAAGATAATTGTCCTCACACAACAGGTCAAGCCCTCGACAGGTGCTGACTAAGTGAACGTTTAAACTACCAAAATAACATTGTTGAAACATTGATATTCTGTGTTTTCTAATGGGTTTTAGTATTAAACATGTAAGCCAGCGATTCTTTTGAAATGTATTTATTTTTTTTCAGGCTTCAGGGGTGGGTTCAAATACTTATTCAAAAAAACTTCAAATGTGCAGGATGTTTAAAGTTATCCTTCCTCTTACACCTGCCCAGCACTGCTTCTTTGGCTTTGGGCATAACTCTTAACTTAGATCATGGTCATTTTGAGAATCTAAGATTTTAGTGACCATCTCAACTTTAGCCACCTTTTTAGATGGCGTCTTTGGAGGCTTTTGCTTTATCTTTTTAACTTTTGTCTGTTTTGAATTGTCCTCATTTATTTTGGGTGGAAGTGGTGTACCACCTTCAGCATTAAAGATGAGAATTTCTGGTTCCTCTTTTGAGTCTGGAGGTTGCTCCATATCCTGGTTTTGAGTATTGCTTAACTCTTCTGGATTCAGAGGAGATAAAGGAGGCTCTACTAATTCAGCCAATTTCTGTTCAGTCTCATCTCGGCCTCATCTGTCATAATGTTGTTATGGAGATTATTTTGGGCAGGTGTGACGCAGTTGGAATCATCTGGAACATCATCTGAGGACTCTGCTGATTGATGTTCCTCCTTGACTGCAACTGTAGGCTCACACTATTCTTTTAACTCACCTAAAACACCTCGGCCTCTCCGGTGCTGTTCACATTCTACCTCACAGACAGAACATTTATGGTGAGTGTAGAAACATGCTCCTCCAAGGTTCTTAAAATCACATGTGGTGTGCCCCAGGGCTCCATTTTAGGCCCTGTGCTTTTTAACTTGTACATGCTCCCACTTGGTGGTGTCACCAGGAAACATGGGAGCAACTTCCACAGCTACGCAGATGATACGCAGCTTTACATCTCCATGTCTCCTGATGACACCAGACCAATGGATGCTCTTTTTAACTGCATTCTAGATATCAAATCCTGGATGGCACGAAAACTTTCTCTCACCCAGAGAGAGAAACTTTTGCCCAAACTACAAGCACAGTCTTTCAACCCTTCTCCTCAAGTGAAAAACCTGGGCGTCATTTTTGACTCTGAGCTGACATTTATCCCATACATTAAGAACATCACAAAAATAGTTTCTATCACCTAAAAAACATAACCAGAGTCTGACCCATTCTCCCTCGGACCAACACAGAGAGGCTGATGCTTTTATCACCAGTCGTATAGACTACTGTAATGCCCTGCTCTCTGGTCTTCCCAAAAAGAGTATTTCAGGTTTGCAATTATTACACAATTCAGCAGTGCGTGGCCTGACGAGGACCAGAGGGCGGGACCACATTTCACTGGTTTTAAAATCACTGCATTGGCTCCTGTGAGTTTCAGGATCAATTTTAAAGTTCTTTTACTGGTTTTTAAATATCTTAATGGTCTCGAGCCTTCTTATCTTTGAGAACTGCTTTTACCCTACAAACCCTCGCGGACCCTGCGCTCCTCCGACAGCAGGCTCCTGGTCATTCCCAAAGTCAGGACACACACTCACGGAGAGGCGTCTTTCCAGCACTGCGGCCCCCGTCTATGGAACTGCAGCCGGAGGAGCTCAGGGCTGCAGAGAACGTTCATGTTTTTAAGAGCAGGCTCAAGAACCTCCTTTTTAGCTTAGCTTTTGATTGAAATCTTATATTTTTACTTGTTTCTATTGTACACATTTTATTATATTTATTTATTTATTTATTTTAGGCATATTTTTAGGATTTCCAGTGTTTCCTCTGTAGGAGCCTCTGCATCAGGAGCAGAGGTCGGCTGTGGCTGCTGGGGTCTGTCCTGTGGGCTCCTGGTGGAGGGTTGGTGCTTGGGCTTCATCTCTCCCCTGGACCCTGTGGTGGTTCCTGGTGGAGGTGGACGTCTCTCTGCTCCTGGTGTAGACGGCTCCTCTGATGGTGCTTTTCTCAACTGGTTCACCTGTATTCAGCCTCACATTTTACTACAGGTAGACAGGGTTGGTGGGTGGGTGGTGGAATGAAATGTGGGATTGTTTTTAATCACTGTGAAGCACTTTGTGTTACATTCTTGTATGAAAAGCGCTTTATAAATAAAGTTTGATTGATTGATTGATTGATAGGCTCCTCAGACTTTTGAATATGTGAGCAATCATTCAAATCTCCATGGTCATTTGGCAGAACTGCAATATTTGTGACCATCTCAACTTCAGCTGCTTTACTGGTGTCTTCTGCAGAAGGTTTTACATCCTCACTGAGTTTAGTTCCCACAGGTGAAGAGAGAGATTCTTGTAACACCTTCATGTCATGAACCTGGAGATCATCTTCACTCTGGTTTCAGAAGAGCTGAAGGAAGTTTTGCCAATTCAGGACATTTCTGTTCATTCATCTCTGCACACTATTTTACAGGTCTTCTTTTTCTTCAAGTTTTTCTCAGGTTTGTGGGCCGGTTTCAAACATTTGTCCATAAAATCATCCATATCACACACCATAAAATGTTTAATATCCCAGTACCATTTCACCGCATCATAACAAATACTATGAATGACTATAATAATTAGCTGAATAGTGGAATTATTGCTAGTAAAAGTAGCAGTCGTACTGACTCAGTAGTAGCAGTATTGGTAGTGATTTCTCTCTCTCTTCTCAGTATCGTGATGACCACCTGCTCCACCCTCGTCGCCTTGGGGATGATGCCTCTGCTCTTGCTCGTGTACTGCCGGGGCTTTGAGGGTCTCCAGGAGGCCGTCCCCTACAGAGATATAGCCTTATCCCTGTTGACCATCCTGATCCCATGTGGAATTGGAATACTCCTCAACCACTACAGACCACAGTACTCCAACTTCATCACCAAGGTCAGAGAGGCTCAAGTCTTTACACTAGTGTTTACCCAACTTTAAAGAAAAAGTTAATTAGTGCACCTTTAATTGTGTAGAAACAAGTGTGATTAAAATGACTTTCATAATTTTTTGTTGTTTAGCTTAGATGTTAACTTGTAAACAATACAATTCTAAAGCATGTTTCTGTGAGTAATGAAACAAGTGTACGATCTTTCCCGAAGGCAGGTCTGATCGTGTCTACCATCTTTTTCATGGCGATGATTGTGCTGACCTTTCTGGAGCATGGAGACCAGACCTTGGCCGTTGTGGCTCCGTCCATGGTGGCCATCGCTTTCCTGATGCCAATGATCGGATACACCCTGGGATACCTCCTTTCCCTCCTCTTCAGACTCACACAACCGTAAGATATTTGAGATGACAGCTTTCTTGAATTAAAAGCTTGTGTCATGTGACCATCTAGAATCTCTACAGTTTAAAATTGAACTGAAGGACAGGGCAGAATTCTTGTGTTCCACGTCACCACAGGCAGATGCTGTGTGTGTGCACTGGACGGTCGACACACTCGTCTTCAGTTGATGCCCAGTCCTATTTGCACTCGATCCCTATGAACCCCTCTGCAGGTGGTGAGCCCACAGCAGGGTGGACCCATGTTGTCTGTTCAGACTGAGGCTGGGGCCCCCTGGGCTAAGGCACAACCGCCAGGTGCCCAACCCCAGGCTCGGCTCCGGGGGGGGGGGGTGTTATTTATTTCATATTTCATATGGAAATAGAAATTATGACATCATCAAAGTCTAATTTTGTGTGTACACAAAAGGGACTAAAAGGTTTGTTTTTACCTTTACAAGTTTAACAGGAGGACTGGTCAGGTAGAGTCAGAAGATCTGTAGTTTGAGGAAGAACCAAAAGTGTCCCTCCTTTGTGTCCTGCACCATCACAGCAGTGTCCAGGGGAACCAGATGACCACAACAGGAAAGGCCTTGTTCTTACTCTCTGTTGTCTCAGTTGGTGATGAAATGGTTCATTCCCTCAAAGTATTTCCTCTGGAAGGTCTTCGGCCACATTTGCTGTCACATATGGTGTAAAATATATGGTGTAGCTGTATCTCCAGTGTCCACACCTTTCTCCTTAGCATCCTTGTTTTAAGAAGATTTTGAGGAATTTTTCTACATTCAAAATATATGTTTTAAAATGTTAATCACTATGGCAGCTGTCCTAATTTTTCATCATTGGTGAAGTAATATAAATCTAAAGCCATGTTTGTTCATGCCTCAGGGAGTGCCGGACAGTGTCGATGGAGACCGGCTGCCAGAATGGGGGTTTGTCTATAGCCCTGATTAAAGTGGCGTTTCCTCCACAAGCGGTGGGCCCTCTGGTCCTCTTCCCGGTGACCTACATGTTGACTCAGTTAAGTGAGGCTCTTCTCTTGGTGCTGATGTTCAGGGCTCGTCTGTGCTGGCAACAATGGAAGAACAAAAAGGGTGAGTAAACTTCTAACATTACTTCTACTACACTCCCTTTAATGATATTCACCAATGATATTGTTCAGTTTAGTTTCCAGTTCTAAATGACAGCTTTCTACACTTGTAATTAGTTTGTATTTAAGCTATGCCATTTTTCTTGTGGAAGGTTTTCTGCCAGAGAGAGGTTATTGCTTTGTTCAACAGGATTGCATTCAACTTTTTAAAATATATTTTATTGCCCCAAGATTATTGAAAAACATTGACCGAGCAGGGTCACCTCTCCATAGACCTGCAATATGAATTTATGGCATCACCAAGTCCACTTCACGGATAATCATTATTATCCTATACTATGGAGAAAAAAGTTACAGAATGAGTCTTTAACTATGAGCGTCTCCCAAATTCTTTCTATTTTGGCAGAAACATATAGGTACTGGATTAATGACAATCAATGTATTTTAGTCTAGGCAGTCTCCAAACTATTTTTTGATATTGCCATTTCACTTTATTTTCACTTTTTTTGCTCTACAGGAGTGTACCAAGCTGCCAGTCCACAGATGCAGGAAGTCGGGATATCAGAGAAGAGCTGTTAGATGAAAGTGTTTAGAATACAGCTGATTGTGGTGGCTTTTTAGACGAGAGACTGCAGGTCTCATGTAAAAAAAATAAAAAATTAAAAAAATCTTAAATTTAGATATATACATTTGAAAATTCTTCTGTAATTTACTCACATAAAGGTAAGAAAATACATTTATTACAAGTTTTTCATTATGTATTGTTGTTGTTATTGTTGTTCATATTAAAAGTAGGTATTTTATTTTTTTAAATGAAACAAAAATAGATATAGACACATTTATGCATTTATTGCTTAATTTTGTTGTCATATTAGATATTAAAAAATGTACAGAGGAGATTTTGGATCTTAGGGCACCGCTTTCACACCGTTAGTTTGATTATTTGGTCTGCATCAGGCAATACAATTATCACTATGTAGTATATAGACTTCAGAGTGGTCCGCTTTCACACATGCAAACAAACCAAATCTGCACTTGGGGGACGGACGGAGGCAGACAAACCTCAGCAACAGGGGCAAGGAGGCTCTCGATTGATGGCAAAGTGACCCTCAGACAGGCACAGCCACAGGACGATCCCGGGGCCGCAAAGTGTAGATGATCAATGTGTCCTGCAATTCACATTATTTCTCACAGCTGCTTTTTTCATCTATGCACAAACCGAGTGATCCATCGATAAGAGCTGTTCATTTGTCTTGGTTTGGATTGAGACCAAACTATACTACAGGGTTGGTTTGAGGCGTCCGGAGACGACGGAGGCCCACGAGCGCTCTGCACCGGGCCAAATGCGGGAGACATTGAGACATCTAAGTGTAGAGACGGGCCCGGAGGCTGCGCCCACGTAGACTGTTGGGTGACCGCAGGTGAAAGGACTGGTGCAGAGCTCGGCCTCCCACACGGTTTGCAGACACCCGGGTAACACTTTCCTTTTACACTTTGTTCAGTAGAGACTGGCAATTCTGGGGTTAAATAATCCAAATGATTCACATGATAATACTTCTTGTGTTACCACTTGACATCACATGGAGTTTCTGTTTTGGCAAAAGAACTCAAACAACAAGAAACAACATTATAAAAGATCTGAAAATTGTGTAATGTGGGCCCTTTAACCCTCTCCAGGCAGGCGTTGCAGATTTGCAACAGCTAAATTCCAATTCCCTACTTACTCCACATCCATATTTTATGAGCTTTTTTTACTCAGGAGCCTTTTCTCCCATCCATAAACATGATAAACATGGGCGATGCAGACTGTGCAAGAATGACTCCACGCAAACGGCCTGCCAGAAGTGCAAAATACTGTTTTTGTTTACAAAGGATATAAAAGTCAGGATTGTATATTACTACCCCATATTATAATTTTCCCCAAATATCAGATTTTTCCTGATACTAAAAATTAATTTGAGCCTGAGAGGGTTAAGACTCAATGAACAATGTCTCCTTGTTGTTCAGTGCAGGAAAACGTGTGGCTCATTGTGGCTTTTAAGCGGTTCACATTTTGTTTTGTTTTTTTTTACCAGAAGTGAACACTAGATGTCACTTGTGTTCAGAGTCTGTCTTACCTTTAATCACGTTTCTTTATGGCTGTAACAAGTTGGTTTGGAGATAGGAGCTCAGCCTTGGGAATGCAGTGTTGACAGCTCTGCACACACAAACAGCACAACAACAATCAATTTGTCACTTTGTCCAACACGATAAAGCACTGAGTGAATCATCTGAGACCTCATATCTGTTCTTTAACAAGTGCATTTCAAGCCCAAACCCTACTTTTAGTCATCAAGGTGATTACTTCTTAGATTATATTTATGTCATTCATTACATTCACTCCAGACATAAGGAGATATTATGTGAAAGTTTACGAAATTTGCTGTCAATTTCATTCATTTATTTGACATTGAAAATGGTATTAAAAACTCACACTCAGAAAAGTAAAAGTACTGTTACTTCACTACTCAAGTAAAAGGAAAAAAAAATTCCAACCGTTACACTTACACTCTCTAAATTACTTCCCAAATACTTATGGACGACTACTTTATACTTCTACATGAGTAATATTATTTTGAGGTAACATTAGTCTTACTTAAGTACAATTTTTGGCAACTCAACCATCTCTGGACATAATATCTGATTTATAATTTGAGAAAATGAACAATGCACAAAATTTGGTAATTTACAGATAAACATAAAAATGAGAAAAACTCAATCATCTCTAAAGGAGCAGCGCAAAAACACAAATGTCCAAATTATTTCATTATTATTTCATATTTCATTTCAACGCATGTAAACTTGTAAACGAGTAACCAAAACTTTTACTAACTTTTACAAACTAGGAAGGCAAAGGTTAGCTACTGTAGCCAATGTACTTTAGACGTGCTGTAGATTTATATGACTTGGTGCCTCTCATCAGTGAAACCACCCATGTGTTTTATTTAAAGGACTTGCAGGCAGGACTCAAACGAAGAGCGTGCAGATTTGAAAGTACTTTAATTCATATATTTGTGAGTTTTACTATGGCAAACCTTCCTGAAGTAGATTTGTTGAGAAATGGCAGTCTCAATAGGACGCTGGACACTGCTGACAGCGAGCTAAACCGAATAAGCAACTACCTGATGATTGGTTCCATGTTCGTTACCATGGTTTCACTGGGATGCACCATGGAGGTCACCAAGATCAAGGTAAACCCTGTGAAATTTGAGTAGGTTATTGAAATATATCAAATACTATGAGCTATGTATACAGCAATGAAATGTCAATAAGAATACTGGGAACAATACTGAATACCCATTTTTATAAGTATTTTGTAATGTATTCTGTGTATTCTGTGGTACAGTCAGTAGTGCTCTCGTAGTAGTTAAAATACTGTCACTTTGAGATGAATTATTACCCCCTGCTGCCCAGAGTCAGGACTAAACAAGGGGAGTCAGCGTTTCAGGTTCATGCAGCTAAAACCTGGAACAGTCTGAACATGTGAGACAGACTCTTCTGTGACGCTGTTTAAATCCAGACTCAAAACATTTCTGTTTAACTGTGCAAATAACTGAAAGGTTTTCATTCCGCACTCTTCTCTCCAATTTATGTCTCTCTTTTTTAATTTTAATCTTCATGATTATTTATGTTTTGATTTGTTTTTATTATGATTTTAAAGTATTTCTTATTCTGTAAAGCACTTTGAATTACTTGGTGTACGAATTGTGCTGTACAAATAAACTTGCCTTGCCTTTATATTGTAGTGTAAAAAATATGTAATGCATTATATTGTAGTGTAAAAAATATGGCATGCATTATATTGTAGTGTAAAAAATATGGCATGGTATTAAAGCAGCTTTATGTTTGTCACACTGTTAATTATTCATTTATTTTACTATTACAATGCAGCTGGAACCCTGCACTCATGATCAAGTATCAAAATGTATTCCTTTGATTTTAGGAAAGTAACTGTATTCTGAACCACCAAATTAGACACTAGCTGTACTGAAGTATAGTCAGTGTTGGGGAGTAACAGATTACATGTTACTGTTTCAGTGAGTGGTAATTGGATTACAGTTACTTTGTTGAAATAAATGGATTACATGGTGGTATTTTCCTGTTTTCACATTTCGGGCTATATCCCTTTATTTTTTTATTCCGGTAATTCTACTCATTGCCAGACACTAAACCAGGTCCAAACCAGGTCTAAACCAGGACTAAAACCAGGTCTAAACCAGGTCTAAACCAGGTCTAAACCAGGTCTAAATCAGGTCTAAACCAGGACTAAAACCAGGTCTAAACCAGGACTAAAACCAGATCTAAACCAGGTCTAAATCAGGTCTAAACCAGGACTAAAACCAGGTCTAAACCAGGACTAAACCAGGTCTAAACCAGGACTAAAACCAGATCTAAACCAGGTCTAAATCAGGTCTAAACCAGGACTAAAACCAGGTCTAAACCAGGTCTAAACCAGGTCTAAACCAGGACTAAACCAGGTCTAAACCAGGACTAAACCAGGACTAAACCAGGACTAAACCAGGTCTAAACCAGGACTAAAACAGGATTTAACAGGACTAAATCATGCTGTGTGGACAGGTCTCCTCGTCTTCTATCAATAATATTTTTAGTACGGTTAAGTAAAGTCTTATGTTACAATATCCTCGTTTTTGCTTCTCTACAGCAAATCAAGTAATCCAAAGTATTCAGATTACGTTACTCACCTTAAGTAATTTAATGGATTATGTTACAAACTACATTTTGGGGTATGTAATCTGTAATCTGTAGGGGATTACATTTTAAAAGTCACCTTCCCAACACTGAGTATAGTCACTCATAATGTGTATTCTGATCTTACTTTCCTGGTTATGTTATGCCATAGTATGTCACTTTTTAGCCAAGAAATAGACTAAAACCTGCTTGTTCCCACTTATCTGTCTCCATGGAGAGTCAAATGACAGGTTTAAGGGTGAACAGACCAAACCTGACAATGTTCTGGGACTGAGTGCAAGTGAGAATGAGGGTCATTGCAGCCAAAACCACACGCTTTGACAAAACTTTACAAAGACGTGTGGGTCTGTCATGCTCTGTGGTCTGATTCCACATCCTTCTGGATTCAGTCAGAATGTAGATGGAGCTGGCTGTTTAAGCAAGCAGTTCTCTGGGAACTATGTGTGAACAGGTCTTTGTACACTGGCTTTAAAAAGTAAAAGTAAAAGTAACAGGATGACAGAGGTAGGATGAACACTAAAATGTACTTAATGAATCCATCCACTTTCCCTGTTGTCCTCACAGGATCATATTGTCAAACCCAAAGGAGTGGGGATCGCGCTTGTGGCTCAGTTCGGGATCATGCCTCTGACGGCTTTCATTCTGGCTAAGGTGGGATTTGATATTATTGATACTTTGCAGCTGATGTTGTCAATGTTTGTTGCTGACTGTAAACACTGCTCTATCTGAGGATTGTCAGACTTTAGACTAATCTTTACACAATCTGACCAGAAAGAGGTTAGCCAATTTGTGCTCTTAAACAAATGTCTCATACATAAAATTATAGTCAC